GCCTTGGACAACCAAGTTCGGCTGCTGTCGCAAAAGAGTGAGCAACCACTTACTCTGGAAAGCTTCACTCCACATTTTCGGCAGTTTCTGACCCCTCACCAGCCAGGCGACATCCGGCACGTTGGCCCGAATGGTGCCACTGTCCAGCGAGGCGAGGATCACTTCGAGGTGGACATGGAGGGTGCCACGGAGCTCCCTGTAGCTGCCATCATGCTTGACCAGTGCGCGGTGGGAATGTCGGCAGCCGCATGGTGGCGAAGCGATGCTCCTCTCCTGTGCCACTTTGTTTGGGACAAGCTCCACCGGGTGGCCAACGACCTGAAACTCAGCAAGTCGAAAACACAGAACGAGGTGATGCTCAAGACCGTCTTCATTTGGGGCGCGAACTACCGTCCGTTCAGATCTGGTGGTTTCTTCACTGAAAAGCAGGAAGTGATTTGCGCCTTCCTGGCGAGTGAAAGCTGGGAGTCTTGGTTCCGCAGCAGTTCTCGATGGCTGTCACTTTTTTTTTCCGTCTCATCATGTTGTGTTGCCATCCTTGTGGTCGCCTGCTTCCCGAGGACGGCCCGCTCTTTCAATCCTATGTCCACCAGATTGGCATCGACTGCGGCTGGCCCACAGACACGCCGCAGGAGCAGGAGTACCTTTTCAACAACCTGATGGACGTTGCGCAATCTTTTGTCTTGAAGGGCCCCATGCCGAAGACTGGAAGATGGTTTTCCTGGCATCAATCTGCGGAAGTCAACCTGAAGGAGTTTCATGCGGCAAAGATGTTGTTGCAGTGGTACTTCCCGTCTGAACCGGACCCAGAAGAATCAACTGGGAAGACACTTGCGAGCAGCTTCAAGGATGTAGGGGGGCTGAAGCTCGTGTATCGGTGCATGACGCGGAAAGTCTATGAATTGTCTCATGTTCTTCTAGCAGTAAGTAAGCCCTGCTGGACTTGGTACACCTTCCAGGTTGAAGAGGTCAAGACTGCTTCAGAGCAGATTGGGTACAATGTGCTGATGTCAGAGCATTGGATGCACGAGCCACACCTTTGTCACATCGCCTCCTTCCTATCCATCGGTTGCACTGAGTTTCAGGCACTCATGCGCCAGTCACCCAATGAGGATGAGCTAGTGAGCGCTGCCAGCAAGTATGTCACGGCCTTGCTCTCCAACAGAGCAGCATCCTTTTCAAAACATGACGCTCCTCCATATGCATACGCAGGACTCCTGGCAACTGATGAGATGCTAGTGCGCAGGGCACTTCGAGTCATGCGGGAGGACTTCACGACCTTGGTTCAGCTTGAGACAAGCCGCCTTCCTGCCGCCAAAATGTTGGCTGACGATTTGCAATTGTCATTTGACACAGTGACTCGCTTGATTTGCCATCAGTTTGAGCACAATGGTTGGACAACGTCCTGTCGCGAAGGGCACCGGCTTTTACAGTTGATTTTCGGCGGACTTGGAGACAACAAGTGCATCGAGGACCTTCACAAATTTGTACGGAAGAAGCAGAAAGCTGGTCAGAACGAGAAGCTGACTCTTTGCCGGATCCAGAAGATCATTAACGAGGCGCCGGTGATCTCTGAGAGGAGGTGGCTTCATACAGCATCAGTTGACCGCTTGTCGTTCCTCTCCGATTTCAGGCGATCAGTGAAAGGGTTTCGCGCCAAGAATCTTTGCTACCCGAGCAAAAGACACAAACTACCCCCAAGGTTTTCCAGAATCATGAAGAAGAACAAGACATGGAAAGCGCTCTCTGAGAAAACCTTGGCGGCTTCATCTGCTGGCTGGGCCTGGGCCCGCGAGTACAAGAAGAAGCACCTCGCCCAAAGCAATGTCCGATTGAAGGACTGCTCAGGGTTTGCGTGCAATATTTGAGTTGCAAGTTTGCTAGAGTGAGTCACGCTGGGCAACTTTCAATGCCCACTTGTCAGGACGCGCTGATGAATGTGCTGGCGCTTCCAGGAACTGTGTGCCAAAGAGAGGACGGGGGCCCGCTCTGGCTGGCGCTGGAATCCCACAAGTGGGCGACTCTCGCGTGGCAATTGGCAATTGGCACTTGCGACGATGGTTCTTGCAATGGGGGGCTCTATTTGGATCCCAGCAAGGGGGCTGAGTGGATCTTCATTTTCGATCCAGCAGCATGGTTGGTCGTTCCAACGAAGCCTGCCTACACCGAGGCCACTGGCATGTTCCTGAGGCCTGAAAGTCATCATGTCCAGTTGCTCCAGTATGCGCTCCAGACTTTGCCAAGCAGGTTTACTTTCACTGACCTCTGCAACCTTGTGGAACATTTTAAGTTGCACGCAACTCCAGCCAAGTGTACGCGTGTGCAATTGCTCACCTTGCTGGCTGATCCCAGCATCCTGCAAGAAGTCTTGCTCAAGGACAAGAAAACGACCCCGAAGTGCGAGGTCACCCAGGAAGATGCCTTTCTGACCGAGATTCTTGAGCAACTCGATGCCACCGAGGCTGATGATTTCAAGGAGATCAAGAAGGCTGTGAAGTTGAAACAGGCCACTGAGAAGAAGAGGAAGTGGAAACAAATATTTGACGCAAGGCAAGCTCAGAAAAAAGAAGCTTGGCTTGTTTGTGTTTTCGGTGACACTACAGTTTTTTCATGTTCAAGCTATGTCAGTTGCAATCATTCAAAATGCCTGTGCCTCGTCCAAGGCACAAAAAGAGAAGAATAAGAAGAAAAGTGCTCCGGTTGGGCGGAAACGAAAACGCGAGGAAGACGAGGGTGCAGATTTGAGGAACGACGAAGTGGATAGTTTGCCTCAAGAAGATATCCCTGAATTGGCTTCAGACCTTCATGAGATTGAGGCGGGTGATGATCTGGCGGAACCGTCTTCATCAGCACCACCTATGCGCGAGCAGAGTCTCCCAGCAGTGTCAGAGCCCGACCCACCTGTGATGCCAGCGCCAGCGCATTCCCAAGCTTCTGCTGCAGTGTCAGAGCCCGACCCGCCTGCGATGCCAGCGCCAGCGCATTCCCGAGCTCCTGCTGCAGTGTCAGAGACTCAAGAAAGGACAGCTGGGCCCAGGCATGCAGCTGATGAGTTGAAATGTCTTCTTCCCCCGGTCGCGGGGTTGTATGTGAAATGGCATGTGATTGACAGAAAGGTCTGGGTAGACTTCACGAGCCTCAAGGATTCCGGCTTGCAGCGAACGAAGACGGCCAGCTGGCCTCGCTACTGTGGCCTTGATCCCAAGGTGAAGGCGGTCTCCAAAGTGTTGGACTTCGTTTCCATGATGTGGACGGAGCACTTCAAGGGCAGCCCGACCGTATGGTCCAAGCCAAGCCCCGAGACCATTCGGGAGGCAGTGGATGGAATTGTGACGAGGCTCGCAAAGTGAGACAAAAATAAGGCCCACCCCCCGAACATTGCACTTGTCGAGTTGCTCAATTGACTGAGTTGTCAAATGCCGCGCCAGGTCCAATGGCAAATCAATTGTCAAGTCAATTGTCAACTCAATTGTCAAGTCAAGTTAATTGTCAACTCAACTGTCGAGTCAATTGTCAGGTGAGTCAGTGATCAAGTCGATTGTCAACTGTGCGTCAGACCCTGCCCCGCCGCCATGCACGTGTTTCCTTACCACCAGCTGTTCGGCAGTTTGAGACTCTGCCCAGCCGAGTTTGCATGTGAGCACTTGCTAGCAATGACAAATGTGGACCTATAATTTGCAAGTGAGTCTGAGTAGGTTGACAGATCAGTTCAACTGACACTTGCACTCATGGGGAAGCGGCCCGTTCCCTTTGAACACTTTGGCCATGGTCGCGTGCAGCTGTGCTGTGGCATCAATAAGCTGGGCCAGACTCCTCGCCGATGATGGTTTCACCTGATGTCGGAGCAGCCTGGTGCTGTATCAATGACTTGCGGCATTTGTTCAAAAATCGGACCTTTGCTTTCTTACATTACAGCGTTTACTGACACACAGACAGACACAGACAGACTCACACACACAGACAGACATGCACAGACAGGTGACACATGACATACGCACACCGCACCCCCGCAAACACACACACACACCACACAGCCCACACGCACACACACACACATATCACACACCCACACACACGCAGAGACACACACGGAGAAACACACACACAGCCGCGCACACACACACAGACACCACAGACAAACACGGAGAAACAGAGACACACACACACGGACACACGCACACACAGACCCACAGACAGACACGCACTGAGACACAGTCACACAGACAGACACACCGAACACACACACACACACCGACACACACACACACACACACACACACACACCCACACGCACACGCACACGCAAACGCACACGCACACGCACACGCACACACACGGCGGCGCGGCAGTTGACTTATTTCAATTGATTGACAGCCACATGGAATCTGTCAGTCTGTAATTCATGCTCACTTCGGGGCCTTCATTCTAGGAAGACCCTCGGCCGCCTGCTGGTCAAAACCGAAGCGAGATTTGCTGCGCGTCCTTGATTCCAGTGGCATTCCTTGCTTCCAGTGGCATGGTGTTGATTCAATCACAGCTCTCATGACTCACACGTGTCATTTGCAGGCTTGAGTTCTGTTTCCTGAGGTGAGACGTCTGAGAGAGGCTGAGAGACATTTGGTCCGGAAAAGGGGTGTGCGGCGCTTGCTCAACGCAAGCTGGCAATTGACAAGTGACAGCATGCCAGTGACAGTGGCAATGCTCGCTGCGCAATCGACAATTGTCAAGATGCCCATTTGTAAACCCAGTGCTCACACATGCTTGCCTTCAGTGCATTTCGTTCTGAATAATCACGTGTTTTTTTAGCTGTTCTTACTGAACCCCCCCGGATCACATGCTTGCCTTCAGTGCATTTCGTTTCGAATCATGTGTTTTTTTTAAGCTGTTCTTACTGAAACCCCCCGGATCTAAACCTACCGGATCTACGACCCAAATTACTTTTGATGAAGATGTTACCTTGCTGGACCCCCCCCGCCCCATTTCTCGCTTCGCACGGCCAGCTTCACGCAGCGGCGGAGTTCAACCGCTTGCAGCGCGAGACCTGGGACCCGCGTCGGTTGGGGATTGGACTCTTCTGATTCAATCGGAGTCGTGGCCCCAATGGGAGCTGGTATCGACATCATTGCTTGTGTTTTTTGTTTTTTTCTGTTAGAAGATGGTTGCCTGGCTATTCTAGTCGTGGAAAGGGAAGCTACGCTTCAACTTGGACATGAACGGACGAATCGGCCATTCTCTTCCACTACCTGCATGACAACTTCTAGGACCTGCCTGGGTTCTTTTTGGGATGTTGATTGCACGGTCTGTTGTTCAGCAAACCAACGTTCAAACCAGGGTGTAGCAGATCAGCGTGCATTTGATTGGAACCACGAATCTTGCGACGACCGGGGGTGATGCTTTCCCTTGCATTTCAGACGCCGCTTTTTTGGCAAGTTGCTGAAGCAAGTGATCCGGGCCTCGCTGGCAACATGGCTGGTCCAGCAAAAAAAAGAGAGTCCTTTTGTTTGATTGCTACTACTGTGCAGTTGAACTGATTTCCCTGGACTGTTCAAAATCAATCCCAATTTTGTATGCCAGATGGCAGTGTTGTTCCCTCTAACCTGTAGCCTTTCGCTACACATCAAAAACAAACGTAGAATCTGCACAAGGGCTCCATTCAAAGGGACCCCTGTGCATGTTCTACGTTTGAACAATCCAGCTTTCCGCCAGGGGCTATTTATTTCCGCCAGACTCGACAGGGCACCCTTCACTCTCCACGAGATCTTACGCAATGCCCCGCTTCGATTTTGTGGCAAAAGCCGAGGGCGCAGATGACCTGGGCGGCCTGCGTTGGCGCGGGCGCATCAGTTTGAACCCCGGAGCAACTTGCACCGAGAGAGAGAGAGAGACATATAGCAACTGAAGGGAAAAAACAAGGAAGGATTTGGTGGGCGGGCACGGTTTGGGCCAGCAGGCATCGCAACATACATGAGTGTGTGTGTGTGTGTGTGTTGAATTAGCAGGTTGCAGGGGGCACAAGCGCGGGCTTTGACTTTGATCGGGCCGCGGGCGCAAAGGCTTGCGCGACCTCCTTGCTCTCTTATGCTACCATTGCCATGCGCGGGACCTTGGAACTCGGGATGTCGCAAGTGAGTCCTTGGTCCCCATTGTTCAGCGATACGCTTTGTCCCCTGTTTCCTGTTTGCTCAGGCTAACCCCAAAGAGGATTCTTTTTGCAAAGGTCACTGGGCAGCTGGCTTGCTATTTGGGTCTTTCAGGGACTTCCCAAGGCCAAGGTTGGGGTTGATTGAACAACCTTGACGGACGCAGAGGACTAACTCGGCTGCTCTGGGGCTACCAGTCATGCCTCAAAGAGGTTGGTCACATATGCAGACTGGCCGGCGTGGCAAATCGGCTTGCCAGGCCAAGAGGGATATGTAGGGAGTGGAATGCAAGCTGTTTGCACTGCAAGCATTGCACTATTGAATTGTGAGCCAACTTAACACTTATGCAGCACGCGACTTGTCAGCCCCGCTGCCAGCGCATAGCTGCCGGAGAATCCTTCACTTTGTTCTGCCTGTTTCCTGCAAAGGGAGGTCACTGAAAGGTACTGACCACAACAGTCCTTTGGAAACATGTTCAATTCAAATGGTTCCAAGTACGTGTGTCCTTTCCGTTGCCTTGTTGAGACAAGTCTCTTTGGAAGCAACGGCAGAAAGCAACGAGAAACAGAACGAGACAGAGAGAGAGAGAGAGAGAGAGAGAGAGAGAGAGAGAAAGAGAGCGAGGAAGAGAGCGAGGAAGTATGAATGTTTTTTGCAACCGGCCATGCGGAAGGAAGAGCTTGCTTCTCACCGCCTGGGCCCATGGCAAGGCGGCCACAGACACGAAGACTTTGCCTGCACGTGCGACTAGGAGCAGGCGCACCTATTTCGACCTTGGGCAAATCGCCTGGAGCCCTAGAGAGAACCCGCACAAGGGAATCCTGTGTCAAGGGCATGCTGAGACCCATACATCGACAATTCAACCGTGTTGCTGGGAAGCCCCGAAGGCCCCTCCACATGTACACGTGGTGGGTTTAAAGCGCCACCATGGCCTGCACAATGCATATTTTGACATGTCAAAGCAAGCTCAAGTATGCTCAAGTGGCGCTGATACGACATGCAGATCATGCACTGAATGATGCGGGTACATACCGCAAATGAGTCGCGGTCAGATAAGATCACGGCGCCTTGCTCGGATGCCGAGCCCAACGTGAAAGCTGGCAGAACCTAACTTTACTTCAACAAGGACTTTACATCAAACAAGGCGCCTCAATCAAACAACGGACCCGAACCAGAATAAACAATTTTGTAATTGGGGACTTCCAATGTGTTGACTGGAGAGTAGATTGGTCTTCGTGGGAAGGCACTCATTTGTGACCACCTCCCAGCACGTGCTACTGCTGGCGCTGCTGGACTGAGCTTGAAATGTTGCATGATGCTTTCATGTGCCCAGCATCCTTGGATATCCTTGGTTCCATACTGCACGCTCTGACCGCGGCGAGGGAGGGGGGGCAATCTGGTTGTGCCAATTCCACCGTTCTGAACTTTTGTTTGAACGGACATGACAGGCACTTCTGTGTGTTTCATGTTGGAACTCTCTCAACGCACTTTCAGGTCAGACCCGCAGATGTGGCATCCAAAGCGACCTCAAGAGAATGCCAGTTCTGGGTGCTGCTTTGAGACGTTCATGATGCCACCCAGATCTTGGCACTGGTGCCAGCAAGGCACGGGATCCCAAGCCGCGGTTCGCAAGGTGGCGATTGTGGCCTTTGTTTTCTCCTGGGGTGTCATCTTGGGAGGCGCGGGCTGCATGAGACTTGGGAAGGGGCTGACTCCGTTGCAGGCAGGCAAGGAGACGAGATGTGTGGCGTGCTTTTTGAAGTCTTTGATTGTTGCCAGGGTCACTTTCCGTGAGTTTCGTTGCATGACTGCCTTCAGTGACAAGGCCAAACATTCAATCAACTGGCTGGCATTTGGGAGGAGTGCTGGCTCACACTGCGAAAGGACTCCTTTATTGAAAGACAATAGGTTTGAAAGCTGGCTGAGTGCGTGATCTACCAGGAGCCAGTACTGAGCAGATGTGCAACGCTGAAAGTATACTATGCAAATATCACTACACGCCTATACGAACATGTATACATATATGGTATTACGGCCCCGTATTTAAACAAGAAACTGCGCAATCCTTTTATGCCGTAGCTTTTGAGGGGGAGTGTCTTCTTGCATGGGAGACCCTCCTACCTGCGTTGAGTGCTGAGGTAAGTGGGGTCCTCCTCAGGGGTCTTGGTGCAAGGTTTGCAGGGCCTACGTGAGGATCGGGATCCTGATCAAGGACAAGAACCTCCCTTTGTCTTTGGAAAAGGCGCAGGCAGGTGTCGGGGGAGATCCAAGACGTCAATGTTAGATATTGGATTGGCCCAGGCTGGTGGCGGGCCCTCCCAGGTTCGGGAAGAGCAGAGAGGAGTGGCCTCTAGAGGATCCAGGGAGACGGAGCTAGACAATGTGAAAAGGGAGAGGTCCCCGACTGAATCTCCTGAATAGCCGGACGCGCCAGCAGTAAGGCCGCCTAAAACTCCACCAAGGCCACCCCAACCACGTGGCGCACACAGTCCTGGGCAGGAGCTCAGTCGAAGTGGCTCGGGAAGAATAAGGGAGTGATCAAGAGAATCAAGCAGGCGAACGAGAAGTACTTGCCCCGTGGATAGGCAAGATGCTCCCTCAAGCAAAAGGAAGGCCCGAGCTTGGGCGAAAGGCAGGGCTCTTCGGAGCCCGCAGCTGCGGGAGGTGAGATGAGGAGATCGGCAGGCGCTGGATGGGGCTGACCCCGTGCGCCGTCCAGTTGATGCGTGTAGAGTGGATGAGGATGGGCAAGTGGACGTCAAGGACATGTCCGTGGATGCCCTTGGAAAGAGGAGACGGTAGTGGGACTTTGAAGGCTGCCAAATCTACCTGACTGGGATTGTCCATGGCACCAAGAGTGAAGCACTGCTCGTGAAGCACTGCTGAAGGTCCTGAGTGTAATAAGATAAAGCGGATCCGTGCCCATGCCTGCAGAGAACAAGAACACATCAATTCCTTGGAACTCCGGGCAGCACTCACCAGCGTCACGGAAATCATGGGTACAAAGGCCCGCAATGTAGAAGGGAGGTCGCAAGCAGACAGGATCAAAGTTCGGCAAAAGCAAGGTAAGTTGAAAGACTTGACGGTGCAGCTTTCTACAAGGCAACGGTATGACAAAGCCCGACTTGGGTTTTTCCAATTTTAATTGAGAATCAATTGGAGCTGCCCCGGGAGAGGGCGCGCGTGGACGCCTTAGTCAGCGATTTTCTCGAGCATCTGCGGAGCACTGGTGAAGGCAGAGGGCTCGCCTGCGACACTATGGCATCGCTTCACCCCAAACTCCATGCATGTGCAACATGATGTTGGTTGCGCTGGCCCTTGTGTGTGCTTTCACTTGCAGTGTCGCAAGCAAACAATCTGCGCGTGCCTTGCAAGCCCTTTAGCACGAGTGCCTGAGTGCATAGTAGTGGCCATGCCGTTCTTTGCTAGAAGTAGCATTTGCAGACGCCTCTTGGACGTCAGTGCGCCAAAGTCGCTGATAGCAATCGTGGCAAGCTCAACCCTGCTCTGTTTCAAAGGCAGCATTGAATGCATTGCACCTATGCTGCAAGATTGTTGGCTCCGTGCGTTGCCCTATAGGTCTTACTAATGCTCTGGAACAGTCGGCTCGACTTCTCTGACGACGCGACCCATTATGACTTTGTCGAAGTCTTCTCGGGATGTGGCAGTGCCAGCAGAGAGTGGTGCGGGCCTTTGTTGTCATTTACAAGATCTCCTTGAGCGCTGAATGTTTTCCTGAGGAAACGTCGTGGATTCGAGTGTGCAGCAATTGACTTGGTGCGAGACCCCTCGCAAAATTTCAGCCGGGTTAGCGGATTTCTGCCTGGGGCTCAAGGTGTTGCAAGCCATGGTAGGCTATGCCTTGTTCCATGAGTGGTGCTCGTTTGCTTTGTCGCCGATGATTGGTTTCTATGGGCTCCTGAGGACCGGAGAGTTGATCGCTCTGAAGAACTCTCACATGGCCATGAGTGGGCCTTCGTCGCCCGTGGTTGTCAACCTGGGGTCGGCCAAAGGCGGTAAGCGGCAAGGAGCTGCCGAAAATGTTTCAATCGCTGTCATCCCCGTTTTGTGTTTCCTCTGGCTTTGGAAAGGTCTGTATGAACCCCATTGTCCCCTTGTGACCAAAGCGTGTGTGGAGACAGCGCTTCCAGGGGTGCCTTGGCAAACTCGACCTTCAGGGTTTTGGGACCCAGGCCCTACTCTTTGAGACGTGGGGGGCCACATTTTGGTTCTCTAGACATGGGAACTTCGACAAGTTGCTCCAACACAAGCGTTGGGCAGCTGCTCGCACCGCTCGCCTATAACTCAACGAAGGGTTGGCCCTCATGAATGAGATGAAAGTCTCACCGAAGCTTTTGCGACCATTTCTCGGAATACTTCAGAATTCGAAGTTTCAGCCAACGCTTGCTCGAAAGAGTGGGCGTTCCCGGGTTTTTCCAGCTGCGCTCGAGGCCCAGGCTGGCTTCGGTTTGGCGGAGCTACCTGGGGGGGGGCGGGGCGGGCATCACTCTTTTCCGGCTTGGCATGGATGGGCTGAGGCCATTGTGCTCGACTAGCTTTCTGCATTAATATGCCTACTTCCTGCTTGCTGGTGTATCAAAAGGGGCGCAGTTGAGTGTTTGGTATTACGGCCCCGTATTTAACCAAGAAACTGTGAATGCTTGAATGCCGTAGCTTTGGCTCTTTTCTCCCAGCCCAACCCACCCGCAAAGAAGAAAATTGTCTTTGGCATAGGCGTTCCCGGGTTTTTCCAGCTGCGCTCGAGGCCCAGGCTAGCTTCGGGGGGCGCGGGGTGGGCATCACTTTTTTCCGGCTTGGCGTGAAGGGAGTGGTGTTCGAGGCCCCTCTTTTCTATTGCCCATGGATGGGCTGGCCAAGGGGGCCATTGTACTCGGGGAAGTGTGCCTGAACTAGCTCTCTTTGTTAATATGACAACTTCCTGCTTGCTGGTGCATCAAGAGGGGCGCAGTTGAGTGTTGATAGAGAGATAGAAATATATATATATATATGTATGTATATAGGCACATATTTATGTATACCTAGAGATCTGTACATACAGGCAGATAGAACATTTCGGTGTTTACGCGTGCCAGCTAGGTTGTCTAGCCTGCCCCAGAGAATATATTGGTATAATGTGTGCGTATCAGCCAAGTTCTTGGCCTGTGGTATCCGGTTTGTCGGATGATTTGTCGGGGCAAAGCCCGCCTTCCCTTCGCCTGTCCTTTGCTTCTCCAGGTGCCTCGAACTGGATCGCCGAGACAGTGCCTGGCCGAGCAAAACTATGCAGTGAAATAAGGGATGCCAACCACTTAGCTAACCGCCAAATCTTCCAAGCACCCAAAACAAGGAAAAGCACACTGCAGGGGACTTTGCGTTCAAAAGGAGGGGACCCCAAAAACCCGGGGCCCCATCCGGTGTATGCGAGGAAACCGACCTAAGGCATCGATCAACAGTTGGTCATTCAACGCATGTCATGTTTACCCTCGCGCTGCCTCCGTTGACTCAGTCACACACATTACATGTGTTGCAGTGGTCGCGTTGCTTTTGTCAGATGCTGATGCGTCAACATTTTTGTTTCCTTTTGATGTTGTCAATCAGGTTAATGCGTTTGTCCTGCCTGTCTGCTTGTTTTTGTGTTTAGTCATGTGTGTTGATGCCTGTTTGTTTATATACTGATACTTTTTGCCATTGAAACCCGCAGTCCTACGCGGTTCGATGCCTGCAGGTGGGTGTGTGTGGGTTGCTTTGGACTTTGGACTGCCAGCTGTCCATCTCACAGCAGGATGGTGTCTATACATGGCTTTGTTTGAATGCTGTTCACTTCCCGTCGCTGGCTGCAAGGGACGTGTGCTATTGCTTAGCTGACGAAGCCGACGCACAAACTCCGTCAGTCCACGTTTGGGATCCCTGTTTTACATTCACGAGGGCCTTTCTCGCAGCAGGCCTCAAGAGTAGCATATTCTACGTTCGCTGGAAATTCCGAACGCACATATATTTATATACTATTCAGATGGGACTTGTTTTGGTGCAAATACATATCCGTTAAGTTCTAGAACTTTTGGAAAGTCTCGCAGGCAAGGGGCAAAATGCAAGTACAAGAGGGAGGCCCAGCTACGCCTTTGATCAGGGACACGCTTTTCCAAAACCACTAGTACACGTGACTGAGGACAACATCCTTCATATCCGATAGCAACAGAAAACCACGTGATTGCAAGCAGAGAGAAGTCCTACCACAACAGACAAGTCTACAGGAAGACGTTTGAACTGCAAGACAACGGGAAGACTACCGCAAGACTGCGCAGCAAACTATGTGAAGATTGAAGGAGGATAGGCGGGTGGGCAAAAGCCAAAAACACTGCAAACCGAAAAGGAGGGAAACAATCAACCATGCTGTCTACTTGCATATCCTGGCCCCATGCATAGATCGGCTGCAAGTGATTGGATTCTGCTGGAGCTTCTGTTCCGCACCTGTGCCAAGCTAACATGTTGGGCTGAACCTTCCCTTCCGGGAATGACTGCTTCTTCCCAGGCCCTTGCATTGGGCCTTGTCCTTTGATGACCGTTGACGCGCCCAGTCACCGCTGCAGCACGCGAAGATGCGAGCCCGGCAAAGCATTTTCGCTTGGATGTCCGAATTCGCCGGTGGAAAACCGTTCACGCCACTATAGATCAGGTGCCCATCTGACTTTTGACCCTGAGGGCTGCTTAGTTGCGGCCTCCATCCAGGGGCAGTGCTATCCATGCTGTTCAAGCACGCCCATGCAACCAGCTGAAGTAAATGTTCACAGTTGTGTTGTGTGTTTTTTCTTTCATCCCATCGGTATCTAAGTTGTGCTGCGATCGGGACAACATGTCTTATAGCCAGGCGCGGAAGGGAGGATCACTTCCAGGCGCGAATGGACAACCACTGCAGGATCATTTGGTTGAGTATCAGTATTTCAGTAGCGCCCCCTCCTTTGCGGCAGTCGACAAGTTACGAGGACCTGCATGGACCCAGAACAAGACACCTTTTCTGAACCAAACAAAAAACTTAAAGTCGTGGTCCACGAAAGGCTTCAGCAGCATTGTTTCCCATGTCGCATGGATGATCTTGCCGCAGTAAAGCGTAACCCCGTGCACCGTGTTTTCCTTGTCTCACGAGCTATGAGCTTGCTAGAATCTTGCAAGCGAATGCCCCCATATGTATGATTGCGGAATTGTGTTTTCCTGCTTCGTGTTGATGGGAACTGCTCCTCAAACTTGCTCATTGCTAAAAAGGTGGCCGTGCTGACCATTTGCTGCGCTGCAGTGCAGACCTTGCCACAGCCACAGATGGGCTCAGTGCGACGGAAGGGTGGGGAAACTTGATGCACAGCTTTGACGACACACACACACGTTTGTTGCAGGATCTTGCAATTGCCAGTGCCCGCGCCACAATCTAGTCACCCTCAAATGGGTGGGAAGCTTGCAGGACTCGCCCTGCTTGCTTCAAAACTCATGATATGCTTCGCGCTGCTCGTGTTGGCAGATTTGGCATTCCCGCTTTTTTCTCGCTTGCCGGTCTTTGACGCATTTTGCTGTGAGGTGCTATTGCCTAGACAGGGCAGGATTTGGTTCTTGAGATTGCGCTGTCGATTGGCGCCAAACATTGCCAACCATCCGCAATATTCCGACATTTTCTTCGTTGGCAAGACCCAAGAACCTCCGACTTTGGGGTTTGTTTGTTTGACCAGCTTGAAGGTTGAAGCTTGGACACAGCAGAGGTCAGCGAGGCAGAGCATGTGGTGAGATTGCCAATCCGGGGTCCATGGACATGGAGGACCCAATGGGCCACTACATGACGGCTCATGGCTTGCAACAATTCTTCTGTCGATTTTATGAAGAGCTCACTGATTTGAGGGTAAAACAGGCTCACCTCGATGTATGTCTTGAACTCGGGGATCCTTTCTTTCAGGCTTAGACGAATTGATTTGCCGGTAGGAGTAGGGCTGCCATTCTACAAATGGTTTGGATGTGCAATGTGTGGTGGCCAAGCCTCCACCGCTGAGGGCCCCCTCAGAATTCATTGTCATGGCAGAATAAGCAGACAATCTGTTTGGCTCAAGCAGCCCCTTTTTCAGCTGGTTGGCATGCACTCTTGAGGGTAATTGTACCTCGGCAGATCCTTTTTCAATTCAAGCCACCGATAAAGGGCTTTTTATCCATCGCGTTGCTCCCCCAAAGCCCGTCATATAGCCCATTAGGAAATCCATCCGGGTTGCGATTCATGAATACATTTGTTTTTTTGTTTGAGGGGGGCAGTCCTTCCTTTTGGGGCTTGATCCCCGGGTTCGGGGAGAGGCCTTCGAGTCACACCGCGCTAAGGCTGGCAGCTCTTTGCCTGCTCTCGGTGACAGCAGCGCTGGTGACGCTCACCTTCCCAGGCGCTCGGTTCGCGGGTTGAGCCATGAAGCAGGAGATTTCGGGGCATGGCAAACGAGCTCACTGATGACGTTGGTGTTTTTCTCTTGGGATTCCTGAATTCCGCGGTTGGGTGAATTCCTGTTAGATTTGTTGTGTTGTTCAAGATTGCCAGATGTAGCCTGTCAAGTAGTGAGGACTCACCAGTTGCCTCACCGTGTCACCGCCGTGCCGCCTTATGCCAACAAGCGTTCGCAGTTGGTGAACTGGATTATATACGTCTCGCGGGCGCGATGGAACAGACGCATCTGTTTGACCCTGTGCTCATACCTTGTTCTACCAGTCTTTGCCAACAGGCGGCCATCATTTTGACACCCCTTGCTTGCAAAACTCTCACCAAAACTCTCACCAAGCTATTTGTCAAGATGCTAGAGCTTTGGATAAACAAATAATATATGTTTGCTGCTTTTGTTTGCTGTACGCAACCTCAGTATTTCCGGCAGCTTCAGCTCCCACTCGTAGTCCTTTGGCCGATGCGCAGGTTTGGGAGACATTCTGCAGTTCTTCCTGCGATACTCTTGGTATCAGCAAACCGAGTGGTACGCGCGGTGCCCAAGTGCTTCTATGGAGACAGGGAAGCCTATTTAAAGAGTTACGCGCAAAGGAGTGAAATTGCCTAAGTTGTTGGACGGGTTGTTCTGCAATGTGAGTTACTTTGAGGAAGGGGATAGGCTGGCTGAATTGAGGCACTGAGTGCCCAGATGCATCAGGTGAGGGGCAGCCGGCTTTCTGAAATGTGGCTTAGTCTTGGTTGAGGCAGTTTAGGCGGCTGGGCATTCACTCATTCACTTCTGAGCTGGAACGGCTTCAAATAACGCTGCCCTTCATGCTCGCGCCTGTGTTTTGCTGCTTCCTCTGACACGGGCAGCATGAATAAAACAGGCTGGCAGAAAAGGGAAACACCTGTCCAAACAGAGCTCCTAGTTTTGCTTCTCCCTGCTGCTTCATCAAGGATCAACGACACTGAGGCTTGGGACTCCTCACGGCGGAGCCTGCCGTTTAACGAGATGCCTTATGTTTCCTATGCCCGTTTTGCAAGGTAAGCTTTTCGATAAGACAAGTTGCCCACCGAAGGCGCCCGGGCATTTTGGAATATTATGAATATTTTGGACAGCACTGGTTATGCTTGGTTGCTATAGCATCTGGGGTTAGAACCTGGGACAAAAGACCGAGTGTGTTTCATGCCCACATGGTGAGCTCCAAGGATCGGCAAACTCTGAAGCCCATCGGCAAGTGGGACGCCTGGGTCCTTCACGCCGGGGATCCCAGCAGAATGCATCACGTGACCTCCAAATTCCAGAATCCTGGTTAACCAACACAAGTTCTGGGACTCTCTAAGTTTCCTGAAAGACTCCCCAGTAACTTTTTGACCGGGGGGGCTCGATTGACCAATTGAGCAGAATCACCACCCACCCCTACTGGTCCGACTAATATGGGGCCATATCCAGATCGGTAGACTTCTGAGAGAGCAGTCTTGGGTTAACATTGCTGGAAAGGAGTTGCCTGTTGATTTGTAGATGTTGCATCCCCGTGTTTCATCCGTTGGACTGAAGCAGCTTGCAAGCTCCGCATCCCTGCGGATCCCTCGATGCATGGGAATGCATCGCATGTAGCAGCTTCTCCAGGTATTCCATCAAAGTGTCCCTGGGGCAGGGGGCCTTTAGCTGGGTATGTCTGTTTTAGGCCCCCCAAACCAAGAGTTTCCCTTTTGTGTCCCTTTTGAAACCATCATTTTCTCACTTTCTCACGGACTCATCCCGGCGTGGTGCTATTGCACGCGGCCGGCTGACGACTCTTTGAGTCACGAACTACGTTCTTCTCATCCACCGGAGCAGGGAGCTCGACGGTGGGGTCTGAATTCTGAGCAAAGCCACTGGGCCAGCTGGTGGCAAATAGCCGGCCCCTTGCGTAGTGCGGCGCAGCACTCCTTGCGGGAGGTGCTGCCCAAGCCACATCTCGACCGCCTCATGCCTGGCCTGAGGCCAAGGAACGCTGACACACTGGAGCCAAGCACAGAGAGTTTCACTTTCTGGCCGGGCAAAGGCAACCGTGTAAGAGATTCCTTGCTCGTCCCAAAGGGCGTTGAGGGCTGCTTTGAACCATTTGGTTCGTTGGCGCAGCGTGCGTGGCACCAGGGTGGTGCCTTGGAGATTGGGCTCATGCCAACGTTTGCCATCACGTACCGGGCCTTGGAACCCGGTGGCCTGCTGGTAGGCAACGAGAAGCTGCATGTAAGATACCCATCGAATGGGCCCATCCTTCAAGCAATGTTTCCACCAAAGTGTCATGGTATCTTGGCGTCGGCAGCGGGTTACCCGGCACTTCGAAAGCAGCTACTGGTTGGGTCAACCTGGGCGGCCCTGGGGCTTGTTGACCCGGCTGGATTTGGAGAAACTTCATTGCAACTCTGACAAAGTGAGCGTGCAGCTCAGAAATAACCAGGCGCTGGTGTTGCCTGGCTCCGGCACATGCACTACGGGCGAGGTGAAAGGCCTGGTCCCGATTGGCGTTGGCCTGAACTGCTGCTTGGTCAGCGCAGGCGTTGTGATCTGCTGCCCAGTCTTCGAGCGGTGAGTTATGGTCATTTTCACTGGTGTGTGCCGCAACTTTTGTGATTTTTATCCAGTCAAGTCCTAGCTTCTTGGCGGAGGCGGCTATGTCGGCCCACAGGTCGCCGTCTCTTGCGTTGGCCCAACTGGGCTCGCTGCCGGCCAAAATGGCCTGCATTTTGCGGACAACGCCCAGGCAGTCAGACCAGATTTGAACCGGTCTGTGTGCCCGTATGGCAACTTCCAGGGCCTGCTTAACTGCATATGTCTCTGCTCGAGGCACGGTTTGGAGGAGTCCTGGCAGAGGTCCTTGAGTAACGATGTGGTTCTCCCATATATCGTGCTCGTGAACTGCGGTGACTGCCCAGGCAGCGTACCTGAGTACCGGGTCCTGCGGCGATTGCGCCGAGCCGTCCGTGAAAAGATTCAAGGGGGCGTCAGATTCACTATGCGGAGCACGGTATTCGAAAGTGACTGGCTCAAGCAGCCTTTTCATCCACCTGATTTGCTGCGGGGATATGGTGGCCCAACCCCGTTCACGAGTGCACTCATGCAGAAGCTCAAGGCTCCCCAAATACAAGGGGTGGGGCAGAAAGACCTGGTTGCAAGGTACTGCATGAACGTTTGGCGCATCTGCCAACATTGTTGTAGGAAAGGCGTGGCTTGGCTGGGCAGGTTGGTGAGGTGCTGGTGGATGCAAATGATAGCGGCCGGGCCGCATGTGCCATAGGGTCCGCAGGGACCTGAGATGTGCTCAAGGACTGCTTGCGCCTGGTCACCCTGGATCAGCTGGCCAATTTTGCGCACGGCCTCAACCGAATGCGTATCGGAAGCTGATGTGGTAAGAGTGATGCAAGGACCGAAGCGTACCAGGATCGGGATCCAATGTCCTTCAAGTCGCAACGCGGTGATGGCAATGGTGTCCTCCTGCGGGTTGACGCTGCTTCTCCATTGGCGGAGCATCTCAGAGTCATGTTCATAGGCGGTTGTGGTGATTAGCGGGTCAAGCACTACGATCCTATGCTGCTCACAGGCATGTTGGGCAATGATGTGGAGATGGAAATGCATCTCGTCATCGGCCCAAATGGGATGTCTGGCGGCGGCCAGGTGTGCCCGCTGCTTGGTCGTGATATTGTCAGCTCTGATGGACAGGTATTGGTTCATGGTGCTCACAATCGGGGAGGTCTCGGCAACAAGCTGGTGTGGTTGGAGGGAAAGTCCCGCGGTGTTCAGGCATGGCTGGGGGGCCTACGGAAATGCAAATACACTGCTCAGACTGAAGGAGCTCATGCGTTGCAACTGGCATCTGCGAGGTGGTGCTGATGACCTCGCCATGGGATGGTGTCCAGTGAGTGAGCTTACATTCGGCTTGCTCGAGCTGACCTACAGTGGTTCCAATGCTGAATCTGACGGGTATGGCAGCCTGCGTGCCTGGGCCAACAACCCAGCACGTGGGCTCCGGCATGGGCTCATTGAGGTCTGCCATGATAGCGTCCTCAAATTCCTGAGATTCACAGACATGTGAGATCTGCTTTGGGATGCATGGTGCCAGCAGGGCCTGGCACGTGGCTACCAACGTTTGCTTGAACGTAGCAAGCAATTGCGTTGGCGAGGCAAGCATCGGTGGCAACCCAAACCTGTTGATGGCCCAGCTGTGCACTTGCGAGAAAATCCACAGGCTTTGCATTGGTGATGCCAGTTGACCCACGGCACAAAGGTCGAGTCTTTGGTCGCCGCTTGTGCATTCCAGTGGCATCATGCCAGACAGGATGGCCACTTCAGCGGGGTGCGGATGTCGGTATCGGGGCCATTTGACTCCCTCAATGCAGCATTCACCTTCCAACCGGAAGAGAGGTGTCCATAGGCCTCTGGCTTCAATTCTCTGATGGCGAAAGCCATCGGATCGGCACCCACAGCGGCAACCCTGCAGTTGGTTTCCCCAGGAGTGGAGAGCAGTTGGGAAAACATGGCTAAGATCGACCTCGAGCTGTTGCAATCCGGGCGAGTTTTCATGGAAGTTCCTGAGCTCATAGGCATCGAGCTCAAGCTGTGCCACATCTGCTGCTGGCCACTCAGGGGTGGTTGGCATCACGGTTCGGATGGACTGCTTTGTGCTATCCTCGATCCATACCTAGTGCAGGGGAGGTGATCACACACCACCATCGGCTCCTACGGCAAGGCCATACCTGTGACAGCTGCATGACAGTTTGCGAGCACTCACTGCCTGTGCTCTCACAAAATTGCCGGATGTGAGCTTGAACATAGCTATCGGTATGGGCTTCAGCAACGCATTCCAGGATGGTTATGTGGCAGCCCAGGAGGTACGATGTGAGCAAGGTCCACGGGAGGGTACCTGCACGTTGGTCCTGACCTTTGAGGCTATATGGCTGACATGCCACGCCTGCTGTGAGGCTTTGTGCGCCCTGGCAAACGGTGGCGATTTTGGCAACGGTGCTCGGGCATGTGATGTCCGCCAGCAAGGCCTCACCTTCAAAGTTGGCTCGGAGCAACTTATGGATTGGTGGCCTCCATTCCACAGCAACCGTGGGCACAAATCCAGCTTGCTTGGCACCTTGGGACGTGGCAGCAATGCCAGCACACAGTTCAATGACCTGGGTCAAGAAAGGGAGCTGGGCAGGCTTATGCGGGTGAATCACTCCGAGGCCGTGCTGGCAGAGGTAAACCTGGTCATCTACGCACTGCACCTCAAACTGCAAGAGAGCAACAACCCCATCCGGGCAAGGGTCCTCAGTGCAAATGCGGCAGGCCTGGCGGCTCAGGGGCAAAATGCCCAACACATGTGTGCCTCGTCCGGCGACGAGCACAACTGCATTGACCAACGCGCCATGTGCGGCGCGAAGGTCCGGCTCAA